GACAGTTACACACACTCTCGTCGGTACTCCGAAGTGATATACAGTGACTAATTCATCATCATAATCAACAGCCTTAAACAGTCCACTGCTGGACATAGGCCTCTTCTTAGAAAGGAGGTTTTGGCCTACTATACCAATCTGGCCAAACGGGTTGGTATAGGGTTTGTTTCAAGTCTTCCTTCTCTTTGTAGTGCTGTTGACCTGCGTAGTTTTCTCCCTTAGTCGTCTCGTACGACACCCACGGAATGAATAGGGGTGGTGTGAATATTCTTAATCCGTCACCACACGGACACGTGACTATTCTCACGTTATTATTCTCTAAGGAAACAGCCTTGCGTACGGCGCTAACACAGCGTCGAACTTCCAACTAAGTTCGTTTTAAATGTGACGCTGTGACACCGCTGTACGCAAGGCTTTTTCATCAGAGAATAGCACTGCTGATAGTTTGCCTACCCCCCTTCCCTCTATGCTTTAAAAAAGTCTAGGCCCTCGAATCTTTAGATAGGTAATTAATTAAAAATACATTGCAGTAATTATTATTTTTATTCATTAATTTTAAAAAATCGCAATTTTCTATAAAAGTATTACAATATTTAGGTAACATTTCCTTATTCAATACATTTGGTACACACGCAACGTCAATGGCACTACGGTAAGTGTTATTTAGTCACAATACAATTATTACAATACTAATTATTATTAAAACATCACAATATTGAGCTAACTTTATTACACTATGTTTGTACTAACTTAAAAGTAACTTAAACTAAATAAATTTGAATTGGAGATAAATAATTATAGCAGAGCACCTAATACATAAAATGCGATATTTATTTTATTCAATTTATTATCGATAGTAGCAAGCTTCGCAACTTGATACCACTAGTGATGTACCGGATCTTTATTAATGTATATCCGCGGATACGTATACCAATACGAATTACGGTTTTTTTCTCAGATATTAGTAACACGCGTGGCCTATAAAATACCAGTTCATCTTCAGAACTCAATAACATGCCATATTTCACGACATAAAGAATTGGGGTAGAAATAGTACCTTATAACTGTTAATAACAATTAGTAACTTGTTTTAATATAAAGCTAAATATTTAATTTTGCCAATTTAAACCTAGAATTTTGTAAATGTTATGAAAATAATAACATAAGAAATCCGTTTAAAATCAACTATAAAATAACGTATACATATCTATTTTCAATTGTGAATATCCGCGGATACGGTTTCGGATACGTATATCCGACACATCAGTACTAACTACTAAATTATTTATTTTATTTAGTTCACTGCATCGAAAAATAATTAAATATTAGCAAAGAAAGTAAGTTTTTATATTATTGTAATTATGAAATCTTATTTTTTTTTAATGATCTTAAAACATAATATGTAAACTTACATAACTATGATTTTTTATTATCAATAAAAAAAGCTTCCAATACTGATAGTAATCGCTAAGCGTCGACACTACCCATTACAACCCTTATAAGTATTTTTAAATTAAATATATTGTTTTTACAAAAATTTTAACAACATGAAACTTAATACTCCAGCGCCATTTAATCTATAAACCAAATCGTTTCAAATATGTGTGGTGTGATTGAAAGATATTCATTGTTTTACGAGTAACACTTATTTTTCTTGGTTATTTTTATGTGTATATAGGCGAGGAGAACAATCTCATATGAGGGAAAGTTGAACAAGTGTAAAGCTATATATTGAAATTAGAGCCCGCTGACGTACGAAAAACTACGATATGAACATAGCTGTTGTAGACGGAGTGAAGTGTGCTGAGTTCAAAATTTATAAAACTTTTACTGTCTGAAAGTTATTACACGTTTATTTATTGTCTGTAAAACGTATTGACTATTTTCGTAGTCTCTAATTACACACAGTGTCCGATTATTTTTTAAGCCAATATAATTTTTTCACAATATTTTTCTTTCAATGTTTACTTCTCTATTCTACTCTTAGAACTTTTGGCGCTTTCTTTAAAAAAATATCCTTATGCTACTGTAGTGCCACCAATTTAACGCATTTTGACGGACACTTTTTTTACACAGAGGTGGTTCTCCTTGCCTCTACTCTCCATAGTCATTTCTCCCATGCAGAAGTATCATTCATTGTTTTAATTATATTTCTTAAAATATTTTTATGTGTTAACAAAATGTTAACAAACAGTGACATGGAAGTAAAAAGAATGAAATAATATATATATATATATATATATATATATATATACATCTACATCTAAAGAACATAAACATATCTACATATGTATATTAAATATCGAAAAAACAAAGAAATTAAGATTACGCTGTATCACAAATAAAATTAAAAAGAAGCAGTAGTATTATACACATAAAACTCTACACACAGTACATACATAATCTGATTTCTAATTAAATAGAGAAGAAATAGTATAGAAATACAGGCATTACATAAGGCATGGTATTAATAATTATAATAGTATTGCACGATATCAAAAATATTTGTATTTGAATACTAAAGTGATTTATTACGTTATAGTTTGTAAGCACATTTCTTATATACATATCTCTAGAAAACTTAAGAGACATATTTAAGTGGTGCCATCTATCTATCAAGTCATAAAACTAATTTATTAATGTACTAATATGTCTAATATGTCTAATATTTTATTAATGTACTTTATTTTCCCTAAATACTTATTTTTAACTATTTTTTGGTAATGATTGAGCGTTAGTAAGATTTCCTGTGCTTCTAATGCCAAATTTGATTAGTACCACGGTAGTAAAACTCGACTGGCGTTCTGAGCGTTTGCTTATGCCTTAGAGTAAAATTTTGTAAAAGTGTAGTTTATTTAAACATTGGCTGTGGTCACTTTTAGAGGCCATAGTATAGACTCAGCTGTGGTCTTGTGGTTTTTTTTTAAATTTATATTGTATCCCTGATTGTTTTTTTTTGTGTGTTGTGGCTAATTAACATGTTTCTTTCTTTACATTTTATCGTAGCCTTCATATATACATTGGCGACATGAATATTTTCACGTTAATTAGCGCAATCTTTTTTTATTAAAAAAATATGTTTACTCGTATTAAAAAATGCAAATGAAAAATCGAAAAGAAGACTGTACAAAGTTAAAATTCTAATGCCGAATCATTAATGATTTCATGCATCCTTTTACAAATGATTTAATGGTGGTAACCTTGAAATCAGTCACACAGGTCTCTACAAAATATAATTGTGATACTATCTTATTTCACTATTTCTTACTAACATTTAATGTTGTATTAAATACCTATATTATTTACTCAAATAAGCTCCCAGCTCTTACAGTAATGTGTAAATCCATGAATTTAGGAACAAGGATTTTATATAACCGAAACTAGTGGATATCCGAAAAAGGAATATATCCGAAACATACCCGAATCTGATACGATTAATTTATTTAGCAATGTTAGTTTGAAATTTAAGCAGATAAGAGTTACAAATGAGTATTTAATAATAAATACTTATAAAGTTGTTTTGTATGACAATGTATGTAGTACCAAATAAACTAGAAATGAAGCAACAAAAATTTATATGTAGGTATATTTTCTTATTGAAATTAATAAAAAATTAATTTCGCTGAAGTTATTCGAAAGTATCGGATAATTTTAAATAATTTTATATCTTTTATGGTTTCTGAAACCGGTAAGTACAATATTAATATGTATCTGTATCCGTTTTCGTATCTAGACACGAAATTTTATGTCCGTAACATCCCTGTTTAGGATAACATTTATCGTAATAATATATTAGTAGAGTACAACTCTTCTTAACTCTATCCTTAATTGTTTTTAATTACTGTACGATGGTCTAAATAATGATTTGATTTAAAAAAAATCCGGACAAGTGTGAGTCGGACTCGTTCACCGAGGGTTCCGTACACATTTGTAGGTAAATATTATAAATAGTTCAGGAATCGAATCTCGCAGTGTTTTTTCCTAGCTTTGCCTGAAATTCAGTCTCCAAAACCTACAATTACTTGTATTCTTAAGAGAAATTGTACCTCGATGATTGATTACGTACTTTAAATAATGACTATTTTTTTTATAATTTATTTACAAATGTATGGTTTTCAGATTTTTCCCTGTACTTTTAGTATAAGACGATATTACTTGCCAAATTTCAGAGTTCTAGGTCAACGGGAAGTATCCTATAAATTTTGATTCCCTTGAGAGTGTCGAAATATGCGTTTTCAACTGCCACATATTTTTTTTTTACGAGTCCGATTATTTTGCAGCTTCAAGGTCGTAGATCTGAGTATATGGTTTTAATTTCAACTCGATACCTCCACGCGGGTTCACTATAAGGGTTCCATTTATTCCTTTTATGGTACGGAGCCCTAAACAATGGTAACTTTGAAAAACAACTATACTCGTAAATAAACTTATCAACTAAAAATTTTATTGAATAGGTATTTATAAATAATAATAATAACTTTACACACGGTCGTCCGAATCCAAACTAGACTGAGCCTTTTCTTTTTTATTACGTGAGGAAACCCCCTCGGGCCGTCACCCCACCGGGGTTTGCGGCGGAGTGGTGTTCCAAAACCACACGGTGTGCCACTGCGCCTGTAACAATAGGGATCCGGGAACTGCTGTTATTGAGACATCCGGACCCCTCCTAGCGCCTGCCCGCACCACCTTGGCGTACATTTTCTATTTAGGCAACGTCCGGCACACGCGGACGGCACCTCCTCGCGGCTGTCCAGCGTGGTATAGTAGGCTACAGCGTGGTACAGCAGTGGACTACTTAAGGCTGTTGATTATCAATTTTCAATAATAACAAAACCCAAATTGAACTAAAACTAAAAACTCTAAATCGGCACCTAGTCTAATAATTACATCGAAACAGTACAAAACCGCCCGTTGCTAAAACAATTAACGCTTTTACAATAAAGCTCTTAATTAAATTATCACTACCATCACTTTATCACCACTATTGCCTTACCCCATCACTATAAGAAGATATCATCAGCGTAGTCCTGTTTGCCGGTGCGCAGGTAACTCCTGGAGTTTTTGTACGTGAAGATGTATGGAGCCTGTCTGGTCGGACACTTAAACGAGTTGAGGAGAACTGGGGGGGCGTTGTCTGTCTTGTTGCCTACCGGCTCTAGTAGGTTGTTCCAGAGAAGGTTCGCCGCTGGAAGTAAGAAGTGTAATGTAGGTTCCACGACTACTATTCAGTAGCAAAGAATATATGGTCATTATCGTAGAATAGTGTCGGATTTGACATTTATTGAACTTTACAGAGCAGCCATTTTAAATAATTATGTTAGTTTATTTGATATGACTTTTTAAATTCTGAATCTATAATTATGTAAATTGGCATACAAGTGAAAAATAGAGTTTGTTTTAAAATGCAATAAAAATATCATTTCATAATTTTATAGAAAAATCACGTGCTTTATTTTACTTTGAGCGCCTATCAAACAAACACTGAATAATAATTTAAAATCTAAAATACATATCTTTTTTCTTGAATGTAGTAATAATGTTTATACAATGTAGTATCCAAATATGGTAAAAACTGAATTTGTTTTTGGAACGAAGTTCCTTATCGCGCGTTGTGAAAGAGGGCTAGACGGAAAAAAATCTTACGAAAATTGGTCACGACATTTTGAATTGTCACTTGTCAGTCATTCAGCGCCATCTATCGAATAGTAAAATTAAAATTTATGTTCTTAGGTTGAGCAAAAAATATTGTATTCGACATCATTTCTCAAGAAGATTTTACCAATGTATAAATTGTTTTAATTAGAAACCAACTGAAAAATATGTAGGTAATAGCCGCTTTCATAGATGGCGTTGTAATTAAAATCGTGTCTAATCAGTTTTACTCGATCGTAACAACTTCGTTCCTATCGGATGTCCCACGACACCACACGGCTTTTTGTTTAAACTGACATTATTCTACGATCATGACGATATAACGCTAAACTTTTTACATCTCACACACGTCTATCTGATCCCAAACTAGGCCGAATCTGTGCTATGGTAACCAGACTGCTGATAAAGTAATAAACTTGCATATATATTTCTAAATACATATAAATTATATATAAACTAGCTATTACCCCCTTTTTTTTTATTTCCGTGCGGAAATCCCCTCGGATACCACCTAGAAAGGAAGTAGCTATTACCCCTGGCTTCACTTGCGTGATTATTTCTTACTTCGGGTTTATAACTTTGAAAATGACCAACTTACATACATATACCCGTTCATCCTTTATTTTACCCACTTACGGGTGAAATTTTCAAACACCCTTTCTTAGTGGGTGTTTAGTTCAACGTAAAAAGCATCAGCTGCACAAATACATTTCCGACATGTAGCACACAACGACATTTTTGTTTTTATTTTTTTTGTTTTTTTTATAAAAAGACAACTCCCGCACTAGGAATAAATCCTGTGTCGCGGGGGACTTTACAAACATACATGAAACGGACTCAAAGTACACCCAGACTCAGAACAACAATTTGTGGATAACACAAAGTGTTATCCCATGTGGGGTTTGAACCCACAACACTCAGCGCAATAGAAAGTGGCGTGGCGACCGCTTAAACCACTACGCCATCCGTGCAGTCATAGTTTCAACCTGAGCAGAGCTTGTAATATGAAAGCTAAATTGGTGGATAGAATACTTACTTTTTTTTGTGAATACATAAACACCCAAACTCGAAAACAAATATTTACAGATCATACAATCGTTTGATCCGACCCGGGAATCGAACCCGAGACCTCAGCACAGCATTCGCATACGCTATCTAATGCACTAACGAGGCAGTATCTTCTAGGGCAGGGCTATAAATTTCAAGTTTGTATCTCCTTGTTGATGCATCTGTCAGTCAGGGACACACAGTCACAGAATAAATGATTGTGCTCATCGCACAATATCTGTCCTGGGTGGGCATCGAACTCACCACTTCTGGCTTAACAGACATGATCACTAACCACAGACCAACATGTTCCGCAATGTTACTAACAACTCTGATAATAACTTTTTAAAATACGTCGAAGTGTTTGAATATAAAGATGACAGACTCAGTTCCGTGACATCATTAATTAAACAGGATATGAATATCCTTACCCAAAGCGTGACCCTTCTGCGAGAAGTGAAAGCAGTCATGAGTGATGTAGGACTGGTGTATGACGAGCGGGAGGGGCTGGATTTGCGGTATGGGTGCGTTGAACAGCTGCATGAAGGGTTGTATTACAACTGTAAAATCGTCTTTGGTATCGTAGCGACCGCTTTCCACCTGCAAGAAAGGTTTGTTAAAAATTAAATCACTATATAGCTATATGTCTGTTAAGGCAGTTGTAAGCGCGTGAGTTAAATGAAGTGGGCCTTAAGTGAAGGGCGGGGGCACCTCCCCCCGCCGCCCGCCAACCTCTCCGCGTCCACCCGTAATGTAAAAACTAGCGTATTGTTGGGCTTTGCATTTAACTCGGACGTGTACTATAAATGAACTTGGATATAAAAAACAGAAATCTATGTCTCAATTCGAATTTTATTCCAATATGGATTGCAAAAAACCTTGAACAGAGATATTTCTAAATGGAGATTTGTATGTGCTTACTACTTATTATCAATTTTATTCAAATTTAATAGAAAATTTACTGTATAAATTACGCCCAAATAATGAAAATAAGAACCTTTTTACTTACACACACACGTTGTAAAAAATGCTGAAAGTTTTAAAAATTGGAAAAAACCTAGATAGTATTCAATACATTTTATGCAAAGTACGGTTAAAACCTCCTTTCTAAGGAGAGGTCTATGTCCAGCAGTGGACTATTAAAGGCTGTCGATGATTGATGATGATGATTAGTACGGTCGTAACTGACCAGCTGCAGCTCCGCCTTCTGGTAGAGGCGCGCCATGCGCACGAGGTCGCGCAGCTCGCCGCCCCCGCGGTGGAAGCACGAGCAGAAGAACGAGTGCATCACGCGACACATCATCGGCCGCAGCACGCGGATCGAAACCGACACGTCTGGAAACCACCAATATTATTACGCCCCTCCCATATTTTTGGAACATGAGGTTCTCCAACCATGGATTACCCAGTTTCCATCGGTTGTATGAAAATAATATACCGTTGTAAGTTACACGAACAACAGCTGCAGACTGCGTTATTCGGTTTTTATTCTGTAAATGGCGATAAAGATTATTTTTATCGAATTTACAGTAACATAATGTTCAGTTTATTCCATGATCATGTGGGATTGCTACACTTGTCGCCACTTGATATGATGAAAACTTGGTCTTTATAATTCACTAAAATGAGTGTTTCCCTAAGGCCTTACCGAGACAGTATTTAGTAAAAATTGGCCGTTCATATAAAGCAGATTTCAGACCCAATCCATTGTCTAGGTTGGAAAAAAAATTCTTCTTCGCTCACGCAGCAAGTTCATTGTCATTTTAAATTAACTACGTTAAGAGTATCGCATTACATTATGTATATCAGTTATAAAACTCTAGGTAATAAAAACTATTAGTATTACCAGCTAAACCCATCTACCAAGACGGAAATATTCTTTACTACTAAGATGGTCATGCATTACCTAATACTGGCACTAAGTTAACTATGGTCCTGGGCAAATGTTTCTGCAAGTAATCGATCGCTCTCGCCAGCTTCTTGGCGTGAGCTGAAGGTGACCAGGACACAGGGTTGAGACAAGATGCCGAACACAGGTCGTTGGCGCCGATGAATATGGTGACCATCTTCCAATCATTCATCATGTCAATCTCCGGCGATGAACGCATGCGAGCCACTATTATCTGGAATGAAGACTTAAGTTTAAATTATTTATTTTTTAATTCGAGTTTGACGTGTTCTGGATACAGTTAACAAACATAGGGTGTTATACGAGCACCAGGGACTTCCTTTCTAGGGTATACCTGGTTCCCCGGCTATTAGTACCCGAGACGGCGTGCGGTTTTAGTCGGTTCGAGTCCGACATGCCACCGACAGGTGGTATCCGAGGGGATTGCCGCCCGGAAAAAAAAGGGTGTTATACGAATAACATCTAACGGTTCATTATCCAGCCAGGATCAGCTGGAGTACCGGAGTAACTGACATACTTTGCTATTGTCCATTTACTTTAATTGATTATTTAAGCAACTAAAATTATTAAGAAACTTTAAAATATTTTCATTTTTTCAATTTGATTGCATGATAATTGTTGCATTATCTATTTTAAATGTTTGAGTTACTTAGGTATTACCACATTACTTAGGTATTTAAACTTAATTAGAAACAAAATGAAGGGAACTTCCACACACAGTGTCAGTCTAAACATTTAATATTATATCTTTAGCAACGTATAGCTTTGAACATTGAATTTGAGAACAACTGTCAACACATACCCAATAAAGCGCCTCAACATACTCGTATAATAAGAGCAAATTCAACTAGCACTAAAAATAGCATTCAAAGCCAAGGTACTAACTTAAGTGGACAACTACTACATTAAAAGTTTAAAAACAACTACATTAAAAGACTACGAGTATGTTATCTGTATCATGATTTTCAAATCATTTGTATAATTTTGTTTTTATCGCATATTATAATGTCTTTTTTAGATGAATTTAGGTGAACCGTTTGTTTTTCAACTACGATTATAACTAACGAATGGGAGTTGAATATGTTTAATACGTTCTATTCTTATTGCGTTCTGGCATGTTCTGGCCAGAAACGGCCAGAAACCGTTATCTGATGAAAAGTGACAACCAACAATAGAGGTTCGAGTAAGTGGTCGTCTTGAAGGTTTTAAGATTATATCGGTCTCGAACATCTGTTGTGAAGGTACCACGTCCTTTAATCTGCCGTATTCTGTATTGTATTCTGTACCTGTCCGTATGGTGACGGATTAAGAATACGGAATGTCACCACCCCTATTCATCCCGTGTGGGTGGCGTAAGAGCCGGCTAAGGGAGTAAACTACTTAAGAAAACAGCACTGCAAAGAGAAGGAAAACTTGAAACAAACCCTTGACCAACCCGTCTGGTCAGCGTGGTATAGTAGGCCAAAGCCTCCTTTCTAACGACAAGTCTATGTCCAGCGGGTACCCTACACAAATACAAAAAACTTTATTCCGTCAGTCACAAATACGAATTTCAAAATACCACTTTTCACAATTCCGAATGGTTCAAAATTCCTAATATAACAACTCCAATTCATCCTATTTTTATAATTAAAAAGTTTCAATAGCCTAACGTTTATAATTACTATGCTCAAAATACCGAATTACCGATCGACTAACACAAACTCCAACTAAATGTTAATTTGAAACATCAAAAATTTAAATTCTTTCTATTTTCTTTCAAGTATAAATATTTTCTTCCGCTGGACACAGTTCTAACCTAACTTTACCCAAATGATTCACCAAGAATAGAACGGATCTGGCGCTCGGCGCCCGCTACCGCGTCCCGCGCACTACGCTTGATCGCCTTCGCGTTTTAATGGTCACAGTTCCAACCATTTTTTTAACATGTGGAAACCCCCTCGGGCCCTCACCCCACCGCGGTTTACTATAACTTCACTGGGGACTAAAACCACACGGTGTGCCACTCTGCACCTGTAATAGGAGGGATCCGGGAACTGTTGTTATTAAGACATCCGGACCCCTCCTAGCACCATCTCGCAACGTCGCAGGCACCACCTTCGCGTACATTCTCTATTTAGTCAACGTACGGCACACGCGGACGGCGCTGGCCGTTATGGCGGGTGGAGGGGAAAACCCGTTGCGTCCACCCGCGGCCACATTGAGGGCGGCATGAGACGCTGGTAAGGTTCGTCGGTGGCGAATCGGGGCCGAGAGGGGATTATCCTTCCGGGCCCTCTCCGCCACCTCCTTTTGCGAGATGACGCGATGAAGGGATGCGCAGTAAAACAACTGTCATTACCGGCCATGAAGCGTATGCCGGCCGGTAGTGAGATATTACGTATAAAAATCGGAAACCAAACACATCGCATTTACGACTTTCACTACAATAAATTTCGTGAATTTTAATAGTAGACATTATAATTTTTAGGTATTATGAAATTCGGTCTTTTGAAAATCAGAACATCGAAATTCGAAATAAAATATTTCGGAGTATTTGGGTGTTCACATGTCCAACAGTGGACTATTAAAGGATGTTGATGATGATGATGATTCTATTGTTGATTTAGTTAAGCGATTCTTAATCGAACTGTTATGAACGTACTCATGCATAGGCAAGTGTAAATTGAGTCATAAAGGTCAACAAAACACTTAAACTCATTGGTTTGTTTGTTAACTGTTTGGCTGTCATGATATAAAGCATCTGTATAAAGGTTACACTGCTGTAAGTCCTAACAAAAAGTCACTGCACGAGATGAATGCTAGAATAAAATAGAATAATCTTTATTATACACCAATTCAGGATATTATGCATACAATAGTATTTCAAGTTAATGACCATGTACAAATGAGCTAGAGACATTATGTAACCAAATTTTAGTAAAAAATTATGAAAGATTACTTGTTTGCTGTAATACCTACCTAACTTCTGTATTGGAGTTTATTGTAATTACTAGGAACTAGTAAAATCATTAAATTTGTGTAGCGTAAGAGCCGGCTAAGGGAGAAAACTACGCAGGACAACAACACTGCAGGGAGAAGGAAAACTTGAAACAAACCCTATACCAACCCGTCTGGCCAGCGTGGTATAGTAGGCCAAAACCTCCTTTCTAAGGAGAGGCCTATGTCCAGCAGTGGACTAGTATAGGCTGTTGATGCTGACGATGATGTAGCAAATTCATACTAACCTTTCCAAGTACCAATTGTATTCTAAAAATCTTTTTGTATTGGATACATTAATTACACAGGGATACAAAAGCAAACTTTTTGCTGAGGAATTTAGGAAGCAGGTAGAGGGCTGGCAGTAACCTTTTAAACGTCTCAGTGAAACGGTTACTTCGAGGATATGTAATTTACGAGTATGTGAAACAAAATTGCTCTATGAACGATAAAAATAAATTTATTAATCCAAATATTTAGTTAGTTCCTTTTTATTATATATACTGTCTGTATAAATGAAATAAAACTAGTGTTACATACAATGATACACATTTTACACAATGTTAATAATTATTTAATTATTGTTACTACACTATTAAAAGTATTTTGTAAGAATTGTACGTTTCGTCATATTAAAAGAAAGTTTTAGTTTGCAAACCCAATTAACTGTTTTATCGACCTGGAACACAATTTTGCAAGAAGTGTTTTATCGATATTTGCTGTAAATAGCATAAATAATCATTTAATTTATTATTAATAACTTGATTAACCGTTTTCAAGGTCAATTAGACGTTTTTCCTAAGTAAACACAAAAATTACAGTATAAAGGCTCGAAGGACCATGCTTGAATGATATCAAACACTTATAGCTTTAAGAGTAACATTTTAAGTAGAACGGAAACCATACCTTGGCCTGCTTAAAAGCATCTTCATCTGAAGCGACAGGGAAAGCGACGTTGAATTTGGCGTTCTTAGTCAGCCACTCGCCTGTCCCTGTCGAGTATCCTCGCAAGTTTGGGTTGAACTCCTTTAGAATGTTTGGCAGAGTCAAATATTCTCGCCATGTAGCGTCGCCTCCTTAAAGATATAGAAAACAAAAAACGGTTAATATGAAAAGACTATTTAAATAACCAAAGTACTATTTACATATTTAAAAATACATAAATTAACAATTAAATTAATCACAACTTGTTAGTCAACAACGTATTGCATCTAGAGTTTCACTATCTTTGTAATATGTGCATTGCATTTGTCCTGAATTAGGAAGGATTAAAATATTTTGTTTCTGTTTGGGTTACTAATTTTCAGTCAGTAGAACTGTCTATGTATGTCTACTTTTTTTTATGGAATAGGGGCAAACGAGCAGACGGGTCACCTGATGGAAAGCGACTACTGCCGCCCATGAGCGCCTTGAACTCAGGAGTCACAAGCGCGTTGCCAGCCTTTGAGGCAAGAGTACGTTCTTTTCTTGAAGGTTTGAAGGTCGTAGCGGTCCGGAAATACCGCAGCCGAAAACTTGTTCCACAGGATGGTAGTGCGAGGCAAAAAATGTCTTGAAAAGCGCACAGTGGTGGAGCGCCAATTATTCAAGTGGTGGGGATGAAAACTTTGCCGTGTGGAACGATTGCAGAAGAGCCTAGACATCCACATCCAGATGCATGGTGTTCTGAGCCTGGGCATCCAGCAGGGGATCCTCCAACGCTAGCGCAGCTGGTACCCCCCTGGGATAGACTTTTGTTCAACGACTCTATCATAAGGGAGGGTGTAGGGAGGTTTGGGCTCCGGGAACCTCACTCACTCGGTGAAATGCAACATGGAATTGCTGGATGACCGGTTTTTTGTAAGGCCGTATCGCACCGGTCATGTCGGCCGTCGGCCCATTTATGCCGAAGCATGGCTCTTCCTCGGTAAGGTTTTGGCCTACTATGGTTGGTAAAGGGTTTGTTTCAAGTTTTCCTTTTCTTTGCAGTGTTGTTGTCCTGCGTAGTTTGTTCCATTAGTCGGCTCTTACGACACCCACAGTATTAAAAGGGGTGGTGACAATTCGTATTCTTAATCCGTCACCACACGGATAATTAACTACCTCCTTTATTTAAATTTGTTAAATGTAAGGTTATTGACCACATATATATTTATCATAAATTTAGTTTGCTTTGATACTGTTTTCAAATTTTTTGTTACTTCATGTACATACGTACATATAGACCTTTATTGTCACGTCATATTTATTTGTTACCCATGCAATCTCGTCGTAATATTTAAAAGTTATTAGTGTATAAGTTTTCATGTATGTGATGTACAAATTCTTATGAGAATAAAGATTTCTGAAACCATAAACGACTATGACGAGAACACGAAAAGACGATAAGCGATTGTGAACCATAATGATATCCACAAAATCAAAACATAGTAGCCCTAACACAATGAGTTGGTGGAACACCATAAGTTTTCTGTTACACATAGTGTGATAATGCATCGAAAATTTGAGGTTTGAAAAAGAAACTTATGGGTCTATAATGGAGTCCATATTTGACGACGGAGAGCAGATGTGTTGCATTAGTCAATCTATCCACGTTCAGTGTAACCTCGTCGTAATGTTATTCAGAAGGTCAATTTTTGTAAAATAACACCACATTCGATTTACTCTCGAACTCACAAATATCATAAAAGGTATTTTCGTAGTAACATCCAAAGTTGTCTGTAATGTGATTATATCGTATTGTGATCGAAAATTAAATCAGCATACTGCTAGTCTTAGTATTACTTTACTATTGAAGTGAAATGCAACGAAATACTTCCTTCACTGTGGTTTCCTGTGAAGCCGGGGCATGGACCGTCGGCAAATATGGTCGGCATAATACACCATGTCTCTCTCACACAAACAGAAATATTTGTATAAATTCCTACCCCTTTTTTTTAATTTTAATGTGTGGAAATCCCCTCGGACCGTCACCCCACCGGGGTTTGCGCCGGGTGGTGTGTCGGACTCGGACCGACTAAAACCACACGGTGTGCCACTCTGCGCCTGTAATAGGAGGGATCCGGGAACAGCTGTTATTAAGACATCCGGACCCCTCCTAGCGCCGGCCCGCTCCTGTTGCGGGCCGGCGCGTCTCAAAATTTTCCTCTCTTTAGGCGACGTCCGGCACACGCGGACGCCGCCCCCTCGCGGCTGGCCAAACTAATGCGGGTGGAGGGGAAACCCACCCCGTCCACCCGCGGCCACACTCAAGGCGGCATGAGGCGGTGATAGGCGCGCCTTCGCCGCCCGGTTCGCCGGCGGCGGATCGGGTCCGAGTGGAGGTCGTCCTCCCGGGCCTTCTCCGCCGCCTCCTTCTGCGAGATTACTTCCTCGCAGAAGGTTGCGACCGCGGTAAAACAACTGTCGCTACCGGCCATGGAGCGTACTACGGCCGGTAGCGAGAGATCCACTCCCATGACTGCAGTGAGGGCCCGGCGCTGCGTCGTCCTCGTACACGACGGTACGCTCCTCTAAATAGTCTGCCACTAGCCGCCTCAGGTACTTTGGCACCCCATGATAGTGGAGTGCTTCCCTGATGCAGCTGAATGGCAGACTATTGAATGCGTTGGCGATGTCTAATGACACCGCCAACAGCACGCCGCCACAGCTCACGGCCTCTTCGGTCACGGCCCTCAGGCGCAAAACAGCGTCGACTGTCGAACGCCCCGCCCGAAAACCGAATTGGGCGTCCGACAGATCGGGGCCCACCTCGTAGAGGTGCCGGACGATGCGGGCAGAGAGAACCCTCATAAATTATTCTATATTCTATTCTATAAATTCCTACCCCTGAGTTATCCAGAATACCCACTCAATAACCTGTCATTCTAGGAAGCTAACCTATAGATGTTTAACGATATAACGACGTAATCCACTCGTTTGTGGTTGTTGTATGAAATTGGCGAAGTAACTGAGGAAGTGCGTGCGGTTAGGAGTCCGCCTACCGCAAGCAGTTACTCATTCAATAGCCTATTAATATAATAGGGCACCGCACTAGGGGTTAGGTGCAAGCATTAGTATTAAATAGCCCAGTGATGACCTGGACGCTTAGCAGTTATAACATAAGATGATATTTACAAAACAAAAAGAATTCACGTGCATTCCAAGACCATGGTAGTAGAACCTACAACGATTGTTTCATTCAAGGGACCATTGAGGAAGGGTATTATCGGCGAACAGTACATTGGTAAACTATTAGTTGTAGAAATGACTATGGACGAAGGGTTTTATCTCGAACCGTTAATCGGTGAACTGAAATTTGTAGAACTGACTTCGGAAGAAGGGTGTTTTCGGCGAACCGATCATCGATGAAGGTTAATGCGGAATACGATTGCCTGCCCTCAAAAATAAGAATCGATTTAGTGAATAATTTTGAAGTAATCTTTTTAGATATTCGTAATATCGTTTCCGGAAAGCCGGCTTGTTCTAGATAATACTCGTAAATCGAAATTTAAAAAATATGAAGTTAACAAAATCTCCCATTTTTCCCGCCCTTAAGTTAACAGTTATAAATTATTCTCCTTGAATAATTAATACTTAAGTTTTAAATACATGTTTTCCAAATAAATCTACAGATGGTTAACCTAATCTTTCAAAGAGTGGTTTTACACTCGCTGAAAGTTCTAGGTTGATTCATATTTTAATAAAATATTTCGGACACACGCCACGCCATCTAGTTTCAAACTGAGCAGAGATTTTAAAGCTAGATTGCTTGATATAGTTTATTTTAAATACATACAGATTATACATTTAAATCACCCAAACTCCGAGACAAATATTTGCAGATCATACAAATATTTGGTCCGACCCGGGAAACGAACCCAAGACAATAGTTTAGTATTCACATACGCTACCACCGCACCACCGCGGCAATCAACGATTCTCATTGTTAGATAGAATTCTATTTACTTGTTGATAAAAGTAAGATATTATAGTAGATAGCATAAGTATCAGTTACCAGCACACCACGACACCCCACGGTACTCCACAAAAGCTCCAAGGGCAAATTCCTCCAAAGCTCCACTGCCAGCTACTAGTGAATCTCCTATTGCAGCTACTACGTCGATGTCTCCTGGTCTGAGGCGATGGACAGAGGTCGGTCTTTGTGAACTTCGGCCCCAGGACACAGCGTCTTGGCAGGGAAATGGTATTGTCGGTGGAATTGCGCGCTGACGCCGGACGTGAGATTTCCGAGATGGGTAGCGAACGTGCCACTGTAACAGAAACAAGAAGTATTGTTAGCCATGCAAATTGCTCCTCCGGGTTCTCCTCGGAGTAGGACTGACTTGACCTGACTCCGGCCGTCGGGGTGGTTTTTAGTGGAAACACCACATACTCCTGGCTCCTACATCCCCAAGGAGCCGGAGATCCGAAGGGATTTTCCATCCCGTCAACAAAAAAAAAGGGCAAGCAAATTGCAACAAGATGCAAAATGATTTTTCTTAAAACAATCATTATTATTTCTTTACGAAAACACATTTTGGTTTTCCACATTTTGGTACACTCTTTTTAGTGGTTAGGTACATTCATACTAAGTTGTAACTAGATGTTTTCCGTGTGGTATCACCACCCCTATTCATCCTATGGGTGCGTAAGAGCCGACTTACCGTAAATTGCGCAAGACAACAATACTGCAAAGAGATGGAAAGCTTGAAACAAACCCTATACCAACCCATCTGGCCAGCGTTTTATAGCGGGCCAAACCCTCCTTTCTAAGGAGAGGCCTATGTTCAGCAGTGGACTATTAAAAAGGCTGTTGATGATGATGATGTTCAAACATTTTTTTAATTTAAAGGCATGCTTAAAATTTTAATTTTAATAAGATTTATATATTCAAAGAGAAATAATGTATACTTTTTATAAAAACATAAAAAAAAACATATTTGACTATTACGGCACACGTCAGATCAGACAGGCAGACCCGGGGAAAGTGATGTAGTTACTTTTTATGATAGTAATTGTATTAATATAAAACAATATATATAAAATTTAAACCACACTTTGTTTTGGAAATGTTAAATATTCTTGTAATAAACATTTCTTACCTATAAATTCAAAGGGAAATTAATTAAACTGAATAATTAGGTAGGCATTACGTTTCTTTATGTGTAGTAAAGAAAAAGGTCATTTCTTGTAAAAAAGATTAGCATAGATGCTTTAAAGTTAAAGCACTACGTAGACCATGGTTCATTTGCGTAACTTCAAACACGTACAGGAGTACTATATTGACAGATCGTTACGGCTACGAACTGCGATAACCTCGATAACGTTCGTTAATTCCAAGAATTTACAGATAAATAAGATGATGGACCATTTTGTGGTGAAATCTGTATGAAGAACTGAGGTAATTACTGTCAATAAACATCATTATAGTGGGCCAAGGAGGGCCATAATGTGCGTCTAAACTGGGTCTGTGTCACCATAACACGTGATGGTTTGTGCGAGATTGGTTCGCAGTGAAATCGCTGGGTTAATTAAGACGAGTAAAACTATTGGTAATGTTATTTCTGTGTATGTTGTTAACAATAACGTCACTTATCTCACACACAGTCGTCTGATTCCAAACTAGGCAGAGTCTGCACTACGGTAACCAGACTGCTGATAAACATACTACGAGTATCTATTTCTAAAGACATACATATTATAGATAAGTTACATCCAAACACAAATGAAATAATCGGTCTCATCCCACAATGATTTGTCCGTAGTAGGAATTGAACTCACGATCTCGGGCTTATTAGATCGGATCACTAACCATTAGACCAAGAGGCCCGTCAAGTCCCTGTTCCCTATCTCTGTCCTAGTCTCATCTATCAAAAGACAAGACATATGAGTACTTCAAGTTACTGCAGTATCAGATTCCCGACTTGTGGTACCTCTTGCTCTAGTTCGCTCGCTCTATCTGTTTTCTTTACGGCAATTTCTTCTTTTGTCTAATTGATGTCCCGGTAATGGTTGGTCAAGGACCGCCCTAAATTAAAGGCTGAGCTGAGTTCTTTTACAAGGTTACATATTGCAACAGCTCAAAATAAATAAGGTGAGCGCCGGAATATGACATAGACATATAATAATATTTAGGTTTGATTTCTATATGTGATAGAAAAGACAGACAAAGAACGTAGGGGAGCTGGTGTGTGACAGAGAGAACCACATTGTATAAAACTTCCAGATGTACTGAATTCATAACAAAAGACAAGAAGTGAAAAGACAAAATAATAACATACGGCTTAGAAGAAGAGAGAAGATTAAAGCAGAGGAGACATTATGAAGTTAAACACATTGTATCTTAAGTGAGCTATAAATACGCAATGTGTATGTGTAATCAAGTCAATTTGATTTGATTAGCACAAAGGTACTAAACCGGCTCCTAAATCCCAGATATAAAACTCACACTTAGCCAACTGCTGCGATGATTATTTGAATAATGTGAAGCAATGTTTTTTGTCAAATAATTTCTGAAGAAGATAAAAGGTGTAGCAATACATCATCCGTTATAGGAAAGACTGAACCAAAACCATCCCGGTCCTAGATCCCGGCCGGATGGTATGAAGAAAAAACTATGCTTTTTTTTATTGATTTATATAGAATATTATACAGAATAGACTATATATACTTGTATTTTTCGTCGCCAACCTGCTAATTAAGTTTATAGGCGTTCTGCTTTGCTTACATTTCTGTTACCTATTTTATACCAATTACACTTTAAACATAGATTCTAAAATATAAATCGTAAAGATAGCATCAGACGACTTTGTCTTGTCTTTGATTTATCTATTCTCTACCATAGTGATAGAATCTAACACTCTCCGTATGTGTTAGATTTAATCACAAGTACTGTGGTGTGTACCCTATTATAGACATTGGAAGTCAAACAAAACCAAGAGATGCTGTAGAGCTTAGGTTTATAGAGAAAAACGAATTAGATAATTTAAGAAGACAAAATAAGCTAACTGTGGAAAAAAGCGCGTTTTGCTATGTGGAGAGCAAGTCTACTATTTTTATTAATGCCAGTTTCCAATCACAATTGACGCTATAAAATCTCACTTGTTATAGTATATTTTAGAAATTAAGATTGCATTTATACTTTACTATTGTATTTTAGAATTAAATATCGCATTTATACTTTACTATTATATTTTAGAAATTAAGATTGCATTTATACTTTATACTTTACTATTGTATTTTAGAAATAGAGATTGCATTTATACTTCACTATTATATTTTAGAAATTAAAATTGCATTTATGCTTATTTTTAATACGAAAAAAAAAACCTATGCTTAGTATATTTTTTTTTTCTTTTTATGGAAAGGAGGTGTGGTGTGTACCCTATTATAGACATTCATGTATTACTATATAATCATTGTGTATTCTAAAATATATTCAGTATTGTCTCAACATTCGGCGTTTCAATACCTCTCCAATATCCCCGCCTTACAGTACCTCACCTGACTAGAAAGCCAATGTGTAAAGAATTATGTTTTTATATATTTACTGTTAATTAGAAAATATTGAATTGGACATTGGAGGACTGTGTAGTCAGTTATTAAGTTTATTTTTATGTTACCTAGCAGCTCTGGAGCGTTATTCCCGTGGCGTATGAGCCGGGTCTTCCGGCTCTCTTATGCTCGTAAACGAGTATCATAGATTGAGGTTGGTCATTTTCTGACTGTTAGATTTGTACTCAAATTTACTAGTAACTCTTGCCACTTGTATAAATTATCAAATTAAAGAATCTGACGGAATACTAACATATTTATGTAAGGCACAGAAAAGAAAAAGCATATAGTGTTTACAGGTAGCGATTACTATTTATTGCAAAAATACCACATGAAAAAATCATTAACAACAATTTATATTGCTAAGGCGAATACACAAGGTCGTATCATTCATTGCCGCGGCCCCAAGTGTGTCGTGGTGTCAGTTTTCTTGCCTCAAGTGTACTGTAATGGTTGAGGACGTTGCATTGCACTCACAAAGCGCACCCTTTGAATCTTAAGTAGCAACGTTGCCACACTACAAACAATCATTTAGCATTACTGTTGGTAAACAGATGAGGAAATATCGCAAATGTACATTCCACCTTATTTGTTTGAATGCGTAGAACCTTTTACGTATGCATTAAAATAACGAATACTAGCTTTATTCCTCTGGCAATAACTTTGGCGGATTAACGCGGTAATTAAAGCGGTCACCTCACCGCTTCCTACTGATCTGAGTGTTGTGGGTTCGATCCAGACATGGGACAATACCTTTTGAGATCCACAAATTGTTATTCTGAGTCTGATTGTTCTTTGCGTCCGTTTCGTGTATAGTATAAAGTCTCTCGCGACACGGGATATATATCTAGTGCGGGAGTTATCTTTTTAGAAAGGAAAGGAAGTTATATTTTTCTAAATGAAGAGCAGACCTGATTAGATTCTGTTTTTTTCTGGCTAGGTGTATGCTTATTTTCATTTCATTTTCGGTTGAGTGGTTAGGCGTAAGAGCTTGTAAACAAATAACTTAAATTTGCAGTTAAAATATTATGTAATTAGAACTATTTTTTCCAGTTTCACTCCTGCTAAAATTTCTCTCGAAAATCGTGCTTTTTCTGAATAAAAGGTATACTCAGCTCTTTTTCCTTTCATTTAATTTAATTTTATTTAGTTAGGATTGACTTAACCTTTTCATTACCATTCTATAGTCATACTTGTCGTCGTCATCATCATCAACAGCCTTTGATAGTCCACTGCTGGACATTGGCCTCTCCTTAGAAATAATGTTTACGCCTACTACACCACGCTGGCCAGACGGGTTGGTATAGGGTTTGTTTCAAGTTTTCCTTCTCTTTGCAGTGCTGTTAGGTCAACAGATTTTGCTCCCTTAGTCGGTTCTTACGACACCCTTGGGATGAATAGGAGTGGTGATACTCTGTATTCTTAATGCGTCACCACACAGACAAGACATACTTATGTGTTATGTAATGTAATGTATACTCTACTGCTAAATATAGACTGAAGGTAAAGAATTTGGCAAGACAAGCGTAACAGCAAGTGTTGGTGAGCGTCGTTATCTACTTATCAACCAAGCAGCAAGCTCATTTTAAGTTTTTTCTTTTTTAAGACAACTCCCGCACTAGGAATATATCCTGTGTCGCGGGGTACTTTAGAAACATACATGAAACGGACACAAATAACACCCAGACTTAGAACGACAATTTATGGATCAAATTGT